GGGAGGAAGGCGGATGGGAGGGCATGTTGATGGTGGTTGAGGAAGGGAGACTCATTCCAACCAGGCAATTTAGGACTACTTGCACCACCTTGTGCACAAACAAGCAGGTCGTTGAGTGGAATCGTTCTGCTCTCTATCACCAATGCCATCGAATGTTGCCACAGAGGGGAGCGAAGAGCCTCTCACAGGGAGGAGGATTGTCAAGAGACGCGAAGAAGAGGAACAAGAGGAGGAAGAAATAGTATTGTGAATGCACATGTTTAACGCAATGTGAGAGTGTAATGTGGGAGGACATGAGTCTTGAATCGGCTGACTGTGTGTCGACTGAGGTGGGCAACGACAAGTGGTGAAGGAGGTGGGGCAAGCCATGAGTGCGGTTTGTGTTTGCACCGAATGGGTGGTTGGTGATGCAGATGATGACGCCGTGACATGGAGGAGGTCACGGTGGATGTGGGAGGTGTGAGCGTGATCTGGTGTGACAGGTAATATGGCGGTGGTAGTGCGAGTGGACAGTGGAGCGAATAGTGGAACGAGGTGTCAGCTCAATCATTCCTGCTACAGTGGGTGCAGTTGTGGTGGTGCTTGCCCTTGTCTGCATGACAATGCATCATGTGGAGACTCGATGTGGACTAGGGGAATGCCTGCCTCTGACGACCAGTGAATGGGAATGCAACCCCATCTGTAAATCTAACCCTCCCCGCAAAAACCACCATTTCGATTTGAGATGGAGGAAGACGAAGTGGGTTGGGTGGGGAAGAGACCTACGGTGGTGGAGGTGGGTGAGGAGCGAGAGGGAGGCTCCACTGATGTGATGAGCTACTGAAGTGGACAAGTCGAACTCGAATGTCGATTCCTTATGCAATGGCGAGTATTCATCGTGCCCTATCACTATTCAACCAGGCACTGTGTGCAACACCCGCCTCCTTCCATCACTCGTCTGATCGCTTTGCGAACGGTAATGGGTGAAGGCGTACAGGAGGTGAGTCTTTCCACCCTCGTGGAGAGCATGTCAGCTGCCAATGTTTGCAAGTTATTATGCTGCGCAGTGGCCACTTAAGCACCTCCCACCCTTCAGCACGGCACTGTGGTGCGAGGCTCTTCTGACCGATCAACTCGCAACCACACTTGCACTGCAGCAACAACTGAATACCGTGGTGAGGGAGTTATAAATGTGGGAGAAGTGGTGTGCGCCGTCATGCAGTGCGTTGGCGTTATCAACGAAAGTGTTTGGTGCACATCCTCTCGCCTCCACAGGACACTCTCACATGGACATGTAGAGGTGTGTGTGTGCAGAAAAGAGTCGCGCATTCCTCATCTCGTGATTCGAATGCTGTGCAATCGAGCCGAGGCGATTGCATCAGTCCGTAGTTGCCTTCGTGAGCACTTGGAGGTAGCTGAACCTGCACACTGTTCCTCGCCTCTACGTCAAACTGCAAGGCAGACACGACTGGCGGTCAATGACTTGACACACATCTCCACTTCTCACACTGACAGCAAAAGCGGAGCAGCTGCTATTCCCTTTCCCTCATGAAGACAAGTGATGGTAAACGAACGCGGATCTTGATGGCAGGTCGCATTGCTACAGAAGATGGCAAGACATGGCTGAGGAGGTGAT